GGCGGCGGAAGCAGCTTGAGCTGCGTGCCCCCCCCCCACACCCGTCTGGATCGGGGAGATAGGACAGCGTCGATGGTTTTGTGCTTCTAACTGCGTTCATAGAGCCGAGAGGAGAAGCAATGGGGGACTACTAAGCGTAATACACAAAGAGTAAGTGTGATCGAGGAGGCACAAGAGTGAAGGGAGGAGACGGGAGCGGAGGAGGGAGGAGCAGTGAGGAGCAGCAAGCTCTCCGTTCGAAGCGAGGGCTCAATCACTATGGCCAGATGGCTGGCAGACAAGAGCAACCTTTGTCCCCCTCGTGCGACTGAAGTCTGTCTGTGTGTGCTCCTCTCCCCGCAGGGGCGCGCTTCTGGTAGCCACTGCTTGCTGGGGACGTCCCTGGCGCGCGCCGGATTCCGTCTGCGCCCGTGCCGCCACGGAGTGCTCTGCACGGCCTCCTCCTGCTTGTCCCCATGCCACCTCCCTCATCCTCGTAGTCGTCGTCCTCCTCCTACCTCCCCCTCCTCTCCCTCTCTCCCTGGCCCTCTTCCTCCTTCTCCTGCTCCCTCAGCCCTCCTCCTTGTCCCCCTCCTCCCTCTCCCTCCGGCCTCGTCCCCCCCCCTCCCCCCCGTTGCCCGAGATGCACCCGGACAAGAACGGCGGCACCGAGGAGGCGAAGTTGCGCTTCCAGAGGACTCGGGGGCTGCCCGCTGCACACCCGTGCTCCAGTCCTGGCCGGGCCGCTCCTGGGCTCTCGTCCACCTTCTCGGGAGCCACATCGCTCCTGTGATTGCGGTGATCCTTGCAACCCTCCTGCTCGGTACCATATTGCACCCAATATGCGCCAACGATGCTGCAAGGTACCCTCCCGTCGCAAGCCCCTTCCTCATACATCCCTTAGACGCCTTCATTCTCGCTCTATGAAGCGCCCCTCTTGAAATAACAATACCCGATGGCCCGATGAGCCTGCCATTCAGGCGAGAGCCCGGCTATGAGCAGGAACTGCTTTGTATCCTCCCAGCTACATGCGGACAGGTATCCTCATACAGTTCAACGAGGTGTCCAGAGATATACCCGTTTTGAAAAGGCCCGTTCTTTATGTGTGATTGTTGCACAAATCTGCGCTTCCGGTAAAAGGCGTCGAGGAATGCTCAAGCGAGAGCCCCATATTGAAATCTGCTATGATCCAGTCTAGACGCTTCGCGTAACACTACCACCCCATGCAGACACGATGCCCAGATGAGTTGCCCTGATCCGGGATGTGGACGAGCATGCGGTGGAATCAAGGGCTAGGTAAGACCTGATACCCCAAGAGGTAGAAGACGGAGGAGACGAGGGATCGGAGGAGGCGCAGAGCAGGATGACATGATGATAACGATGATGATGCTGTTGATGATGCTGCTGCTGATTGGTGGTGATGATGCTGATGCTGGTGCTGCTGATGATGATGATGCTGCTGATTCTGCTGATTCTGCTGATGACGATGACGATGATGATGAGGCGGTTGCTGCTGATGATGATGATACTGGTTTGGTGGTGACGGTTGTGGTGGTGATGATGGTGATGATGACGACGATGATGATGCTGATGACGAAGATGATGACGATACCGCTGATGATGATATTGATTATGATGGTGATGCTGATGTTGTTGCTAAGGATGCTGACTATGATGGTGATGCTGATGTTGTTGATAGAGTGGTGATGCTGCTGATGATGATCATGAGGATGCTGATGATGACGACGACGATACCGATGATGATGATGCTAATGATGCTGATGCTGATGATGATGCTAATGAGGATGGTGACGCTGAAGATGATGATGCTGTTGGTTATACTGATGATGAGGTTGATGAGGATGACGATGCTGATGATAATGATGATGCTAATGATGATGATGCTGCTGATGCTGATGCTGATACTGATGAGGAGGATGATGATACTGATGATCGTGCTTCTGCTGCAGACGCTGCGGCTGAGGATGATGATGATGATGATGATGATGATGCTTATGCTGATGATGCTGATGATTGTGATAATGCTGATGATGATGATTCTGGTCATGATGCTGATGTGGATGTTGATACTGATGATGATGATGATGATGCTGCTGCTGATGATGCTGATGACTGTGATGATGCTGATGAGGATGATGATTATGGTCATGATGCCAATGCGGATGCTGATACTGATGATGATGATGATGATGATGATGATGATGATGATGCTGATGAGGATGATTGTGACGACGACGATGATAATGGTGCTGCTGATAATGATGAGGAGGAGGATGAGGATGATGATACTGAGACTGTTGATGCTGATGCTGCTGATGATGCTGATGCGGATGCTGACGTGGATTATGCTAATACTGATGATAATGCTGCTGCTGACGATGATGATGCTGATGATGGTGATGATCATGATGATGCTGATGATTCTGATGGCGATGCTGATGCTGCTGATGATGATGCTGATGATCGTGACGAAGATGATGCTGCTGTTGATGATGATGAGGAGGAGAAGGAGGAGGATGATGATGATTCTGCTGATGTTGTTGATGATGGTGCTAATTCTGATGACAAGTTTTCTGATGCTGATGCCGCTGATGATGATGCTGATGCTTATGCTGATGCTGATGATGATGCTGATGCTGGTGATGATGCTGATGAGGATGATGGTGTTGTGATGATGATGCTGATGATTAGGATGATGGTGATGATGCTGATGATGATGCTGATGCTGCTGATGAGGATGACGATGATGCTGCTGCTGCTGCTGATGATGATGATGATGATGATGATGATGATGAGTTTGCTGGTGATGATGACGAGGAGGAGGAGCAGGAGGAGGATAATGATGAGGCTGAGGAGGACGAGGATGAGGCGGAGGAGGAGGAGGAGGAGGAATAGAATAGTAAGCAGGTGTATAGTAACACTAATAAGAAGAATACGAATACGAACAATAATAATAATAATACTAATAATAATAATAGTCATAATAATAATGAAAATACTAATGATCAGAATCGCAATAATAATAGTAATGATAATACTAATACTACTACTACTACTACTACTACTACTACTACTACTACTACTACTACTACTACTACGACTACTACTACTAATAATAATAATCACACGAGTAATCATACTAAAAACAATAAGACGAATACTAATTACACAAATAAGAAGAAAACTAAAAACAACATGGCGAGGGGGAGGGAGGTAGGAGGAGGGAGGGGGAGGACTAGGCGGATGAGCTGGAGGAGGTGGAGGCGGAGGAGGAGGAGGTTTGTGGAGGAGGAGGAGTGGGAGGAGGAGAAAGAGGAGGAGGAGGAAGAGGAGAAGGAGGAGAAGGAGAAGTAGAAGAAGGAGAGGCAGGAGGAGGGCGAGCAGACAGGCCAGAGGATACCCCTTGGGGCGTCCTGGGGGACTCTTGGCAGTCTTGGGGGCCTGGGGCGGGCGTCTTGGGTGCCTCCGCGGGGTCCCTTGGGGCCTCTCGGGGGCCTCTCGGGGGCCTCTTGGGGGCCGGGCCTCTTGGGCCGGGCCTCCTGGGCACCTCTTTGGGCCGTCTTGGGGCTCCCTTGGGAGCCTCGGGGGGTCATCTTGGGGCCATCTTGGAAGAGATCGGTCAAAGGAGAGGAGCTCCCCAATTAGGGCCCCCCCCCCCTCCAGGAGGCCAAACTGTGGCCAAAGATTTTGAAAGCCACCCGCCCTCGATCCGTGAAGCTTCTGCACACATCTACGACGAGCGTGCGTTGCGCCAAGGCGAGAGCCAGATTTTGAAAACAACCCGCCCTCACTCAGTGAAACTGTTGCCAACTTCTCAGCTGCAGGGTCATCGATGGTGAGGAAGTCTCAGGCGAAACACCCGGCCCGCCCTTTCGACCGGCCTCGGGGTGTGACAGGGAGGAGTTATTTGTATGGAAATGGAATGGATGATGAGGCGGAGGAGGAGGGAGGGAGGGAGGGAGGAGGGAGGAGGGGGGAGGGAGGAGGGAGGAGGAGAACGAGGAGGAGCAGGAGCAGGAGGAGGAGAACGAGGAGGAGGAGGGGGAGGAGCGGGAGGAGGGGCAGGAGGTGGAGGGAGTAGGGGGTTGGACGGAGGATGGGTCGCTACCCCTCCGCATGCCTGCTGCTCCCGCGTCATCGGCCTCCCCCCCCACGGGCATTTGTTGGCCTCGCACTCTGGAGCACTTGTGGCCCGAGCCCCCGACTCGAGTCAATCATCGTCGTGTCCTCCGCCTCCCCCTCCACCTCCCCTCTTTCCCTCCCCCTCTTCCCTTTTCCCTCCCGCTCCCCCCTCCGGCCCCCGCTCGAGTCTCCCTCCTGCCCTGCCTCCCGGTAGTTCTCGGCCTCGGCGGCAGTTTGTGTGCCTCGCGCTTCTGCGCTGCTCTCTCCGCCCAGCCGCCCATTGTGTCGCCTGACCTCCCGCGCGCTTTCCCGTCCTATCCGGTAAGCTCGCCGCACGCACAGCAGGGCAAGACCCAGTCACTGCGAACGTCAGCAAGCGGCCCCAGTCCGATTCTACACGCGGCTCCACGAACGGACAGAGCTACATGATGCCATACAGTGGGGGCGTTCGTTAACGAATTCGTTCAGGAGTTTTCAGATCCTGGGAAATTTCTATATGATGCGGGCGATTGTGATATCCACTGCCGAGCCTCAATTTGGTGTTCCATCAGCTTCCAGATCCTGAAATCTTTATCCAGTGGTTTCTTATCAAGCGCCCCCCCACCGTATGCTATGCAAGCGCATCTAGATTGCCTCTCCCCTCCTAGTCCCCTCTCCTGCACTCCCGTCCTTCCTATCTCTCCACCCCTGCCCTTCTCCCTTTCCCTTCCCATCCCCCCTTCTCCCCCCTTCTCCCCCCCTCTCCCCCTACGTATCCATACCTCCACTTCGCCCTCTGCGTCCCCCGCCCCTGCCCCCGCCCACATCCGTCCCCCATCTCCCCCTCTGTCGCCCTCCTCTCCCTCTGGGCAAGAGGGCGCCCGGTTTATGTAGTTAGCGTCACCGTGCAAGTGGTTGCCCCCCAGGATGAAGGAGCGATACGAGGCGCTGAAGGCCGGGGGGCAGAGGGATGAACACAGAGGCGGTGGTGGCGAAGAGGAAGAAGGGGGTGTGGAGGAGTAGTGGGAGGAGGAGGAGGAGGAGGAGGAGGAGGAGGAGGAGGATGAGGATGAGGAGGAGGAGGCTGAGGAGGAGGAGGAGGAGGACCCGACTGCACCTTCCCATCCGAAGTCCCCTCCCCATATGTACGTCCCTATAAGTTTTCTTTTTCACTACAGGAAGCGCCCACACTTGGAAGCCATAGCCGCCTTCAGGCGCATCATCAGGAAGGCGAGACACTATGATGTTAGATCATATACGGTTCAGCGTGGTGTCCAACGGACCGCCCCCATCCGTGTAATCGTTGCACGCGTTTTCATGTTTGGTCACGCACTTCGAGCAAGTCTCAAGCGAGGTCTCAATTTCAGCATCCGGGGGAAAGACCCAACCATGTGCTGTTGCGAGTGCCACAAGGCAGGTGGGACGAAGGAGGGGCAGGCCCGTATGGGGTCACGGAAACTGTGAGAGGTGTGCTGCAATCGGTGCGGGGTCGCCATGTGGATCCTGCCGTTGGGGCCCTCGGTGGAGCTCCTTGTGGGGCCACGAAGCGTGCTTGAGGTGTGTGTCAAAATGGGTGCAGGGCCGCCATGCGGACTCTGCAGCTGGGCCTTCGGTGGGGCTTCCCCTGTGGCCACAAGACGTCTGAGGCGTGTGCCGACAGGGGTGCGGGGCCGCCATGCGGACCCCGCCGCTGGGGTTTTCGGTGGAGCTCCTTGCGGGGCCACGGAACGTGTGAGGGGTTTGCCAAAATGGGTGCAGGGCCGCCAGGCGGACTCTGCAGCTTGGGCCTTCGGTGGAGCTCCCTGTGGGGCAGCGAAGCGCGTGAGGGGTGTGCTCAGATGTGGGGCTGCCATGCGGGCCCTGCCGCCGGGTCCTCCGGTGGAGCTCCCGGTGTGGCCACGAAGCGTGCAAGGGGTGTGCCTGCAGGGGTGCGGGGCCCTCCTGCGGACCCTGCCGCTGGGATTTTCGGTGGAGCTCCCTGTGGGGACACGGCACCTGTGAGGGGTTTGCCGAAACGGGTCCGGAAACCGCTATGCGGACCCTGCCGCTGGGGCCTTCGGTGAAGCTTCTTGCGGGGCCACGCAGCGTGTGAGGCGTGTGCAGAAATGGGTGCGGGGCCGCCATGCGGACCCCGCCGCTGGGGCCTTCGGTGAAGCTCCCTGTGGGGGCCACGAAGCGTGTGAGGGGTGTGCCGCAATGCGGGGCAGCCCTGCCGCCAGGGTTTTCGGTTGAGCTCCCTGTGGGGGACACGGGGGCCACGAAACGTGTCAGTGGCGTGCGGAAATGAGTGCGGGGCCGCCATGCGGACCCTGCCGTTGGGGCCTTCGGTGGAGCTCCGCATGGGGCCACGTAGCGTGGGAAATGTGTGCAGAAATGGAGGAGGAGGAGGAGAAGGAGGAGGAGGAGGAGAAGGAGGAGGAGGAGGAGGAGGAGGAGGAGGAAGAGGAAAGAGGAGGAGGAGGAGGGAAAGAAAAGAGGAAAGTGGAGGAGGAGGGAAGGAAGGAAGGAAGGAAGGAAGAAAAGGAAGGAAGGAAGGAAGGACGGAAGGAAGGATGGACGGAAGGAAGGAAGGAAGGAAGGAAGGAGGTAGGGAGGAGTGGGGAGGAACGCGGGGCGCTGCTGATTCAAAATGAGGACCCAGCATCTCAGGATGGCTAGGGGAAGCAAGGAGCCGCCCTCGTTCCGAGCAGTGCTACAGGTGATGAAGCTTCGAATATTTCAGAAAGCGGGAGCCACATTCTAGAAAAGAGGCCCCGACGTATTTCTGACTGCTGCAAGCTTTCAAGACGAAGGTGTTCGGCACCGATTGCGAGAGCCCCAAACTTGAAACTGGTCTTTGCTCCACTCTTGGTTGTCTTGAGACGAATGTGCGCGGCGTTGAGGCGAGAGTTGCATTTGCGCCCTCGAGGGCGCGATTTTTTTCGCGCTCCGCGCTTCGCGGTTCGGCTCCGAGTCCTCTTCATCTCCCTCTTCTTCCCTGGGAGGCGGCGCGAGAGCGCGAAGGTATTCGCACTTCGCGCTTCGCGCAGCGCGAGGCGCGAAGCTGGGAGCCCTTGATTCGAGCACGACCTGCCTTCCAGCTTGGTGGCTGCTGCATCTTTCGAGCGTCAGGGTCAGGCGCAACGGGGAAGTCTGGGGCGACCCGCCGGGCCCGCCCTGCCGACACGTCGGGGGGTGAGACGGGGAGGACGTTTGTCGCTTGAGGACACGGGCTGGGCGAGGAGGGTGGGGATGAGGACTAGGATGATGAGGGTGTAGAGGACCAGGATGAGGATGAAGATGCGGATGATGATGATAATGATGATGATGATGATGAGGATGCTGATGCCGATGATGATGCTGATGCTGCTGATGCTGATGCCGATGCTGATGCTGATGCTGGTGCTGGTGCTGGTGCTGCTGATGATGCTGAAGATGGTGGTGATGATGATGCTGCTGCTGCTGATGCTGCTGCTGATGATGATGTTGATGATGATGCTGATGATGCTGATGCTGGTGCTGTTGCTGATGATGCTGATGAGGAGGAGCAGGAGGAGGCGTCTTGATGCGGTCTACATTCAGTTTTGGATTCATCTGGGATGCCACACGAAGCGTCGCAGGTTTTGATATTACCTTGTCTTCCGTCTCGATTCGCTCCCTCTTGCTCGTTCTTCCAGTGGCTTCCTCTCTGTTCGTTCCCGCCGCCTTCTCCGTCCCCTCCTGCCTCCTCTGCGGCTTCTCTGATCGGAGCAAGATGCAGCAAAGGCAATGACAGAACATGTGTGAGCAACACTTGTATAACATCATCAGCATGGATGTTTCATGTTCTGGAGTTTTTCTAATGTTGGGGGGAATGTATGGGGCGATGTCATGGGGCATTTTAAACGTCATATTCGAGCGAAATATACTTTGTGACATACCAAGCACAATACGTTCTCGAGTGTGTAAATATGTACACATTCGAGCAATTCTACGGTAAACGAAATAGTGAATTCGTGGCCAGCGTTGGAACACTGGCCAGAGACGAAGTTCATCATGCGGACAATGGGTTACGACAAAGGTTGGATGGGTAAGGTCATGATGACGATGAGAAGGAGGAGGACGCTGATGATGACGAGCACGATGGTGATGCCGGTGGTGATGATGGCGGCGGCCAGGAGGAAGGAGGGCATTGGAGGAGGAGGAGGTGGAGGATGAGAGGGGGCGGCGGCGGGAGGAGGGGAGGAGATTGGGAAGGACGAGATGGGAGGGGGGCGGAGGGAGGAGGCCCCCCGTGCGCCGCGGAGCCCCTCCCCCCGCCTGCCCTGCGCGACGCGCCACGGGCGCGCGCGCGCGGGAGGGGGGGGGGGCGAGGGGGGGGGGGGGCTGCAGCGGTCGCTGCCGCCGTCGCCGTCGACCTGCGCGGGATGTTTGCAGGCGGGTGTTGGGGATGCATCCAGTTCGTGGGGGCCGACCTCTCCGACATCTGTGGCCATAGTGCCCAGCATCTTCCTGTGCGCACCGCTCAGCCGGCCCAGCCAGACCGAGACAGTGAGTTCGGCCGACGCCACGATGCCAGCCTGGATGAAACAGCTGCATGAGCACCCGCCTTCGGCAGGAGCACCCGCCTCGAAGAAGGCGCACACAGGAGGGTCAAAGTCCGACGACGAACAAAACGTTGCTCTACGTGCTGGCGCGCCTGGTGCTGGCCGACAGTCGTGCCATCGCAGAGGTCATCGGCAGCACAGTCTTCACCTCGTTCGAAGTCGCCAACTCCGCCAACGGCATGCCAGAGGCCCTCCGAGAGGCGGGAAAGAAGTACGATGCGCGGAGCAGGGAGCGGAAGGAGAAGCAGGCCCAGGGCCAGGGCATCGACTGGGGCTCGATGGGGCCCGCCGCACGTGCAGATATTCTCCATTGGCGCCCTGTGGGCCGTGAACAAGCTAGGCGGCGAGCTGGCGAAGGGCCGGCGCGAGTTCTGGGAGGCCGTAGCGATGAAGTCCACGCCCCAGCAGATGTCCGAGCTGGTCTCGCACTTTCGCTGGCGGCCGAACAGAGGCAAGAAGGATGGCGCCGACGAGCCGAAGGGGGGGATCGTCTGGGCGCTGGGCCCGAACCACGAGCACGCCACCAGCCTGCGCCAGCCGATCATGAAGGCGATGATGGCGCTCAACGGAGTGCGCAGGACGGAAGCTGCGCCGAGGGGCCCGCTCGAGAGGGAGGTGGCGCGCACTATCGAGGCCCAGGGCAAAGGGAGATCGCTCTGAGGACGGTCGACATCGTGAGAGGTAGGGAGGGCCGAGGATCAAAGTTTTTCGGCCCCTTTCCTTGCCAGAAGACAACGTCGAGTCTATGCGATTTAGTGTCGCAGCATCGGTAAATTTTGTCAGCAGCACGGCAGCAGCAGCGAGTCAGCAGTCGAGCGTTTCCGACCGTGGGCGGGGGTGGCGCGGGGCTGGGCGGGACAATTCGAGTAGACGAAGAGCTGCGCCTCCGACGAGAGGAGCGAGCTCCAGCGTATGGTCGAAGAGTGTTAGGTACCAGGAGCTCCTGCAGAGTGGGAGGCTCCCCGGGGCACGGATCCCTGGGGAGGAGGCCCGAACGGTCCCCACCGTCGCCCTCCCCCTCCTCCTCCTCCTCCTCCTCCTCCTCCTCCTCCTCCTCCTCCTCCTCCTCCTCCTCCTCCTCCTCCTCCTCCTCCTCCCCTGCCCTCCCCCCTCGTCCTCCGAGGGGGGGGGTGGGCGGCGTGCGCGCCTCGGGCCCCTGAGGGCGCCCTCCGGTGATGCGTGCCCGTAGAGAGGGTTGCCCTTACAGGGGCGGTGCGCCCTTTGGGCGAGAGCACAGGGCGCACGTCCAGAGGCAGTCGGCGTTCAAATGAACTGCCCCCCCAGAGTTCGAACAGACATTTTTTTTCGCCTGGCCGATGCTTTGCACCGGGACTCCATGGGTTATTGCTTGCTTGCTCCTCCTCCTCCTCCTCCTCCTCCTCCTCCTCCTCCTCCTCTTCTTGGCTCCCCTAGATAGGAGGCCAATGGGGGAGCAAGGAAGGAAGGAAGGAAAGTGCACCGCTCGTGCACCTTCGGGGCCGCATCGCCGATGCATCGGCGACGCATCGGCGATGCGGCTAGATGTGGAACCCGATTTTCTCCACGCCGGCGTCGCCGATGCACCGACGACGTCGCCAGTGCATGGCCGATGCGTCGTCGATTCATCGGCGGTGCATCGCCGATGCATCGGCGATGCGGCGAGATCCTCCGACAACATCTACTCGGACCCCATCAGGGAGGCCTCTATATCGACAAGCCAGTCTCCCTCCGGCCCACTGCCGCCTCGCAAACCCGCAGGCTCGGCGGTCCGCGGCCGCCGCGGAGGCCAAGAAGTCTGGCGAGGAGGAGGAGAAGCGGCTCGATTTTCTTGCGGTCCCGTGGTTTTTCCCCCAGGCAGTGCTTGCATTCCGAGGTCCTGACTGGGCTTTCTTGAGGGACTGGTTGGGTCTCCTGGGCCTTCGTCGCGCTGGGCGCTCCTTCCCGCTCGTGGGCGCCTCGTGGGCGCCCCGCGCGCTGGGTGGGTTTCCCGAGGTTTCGCCGGCGTGGCGGCCGCGCCCGCTCGTGAGGGCCTCGTGTCTAGACGCCCGACATGGGACAACATTTGCTGTTGGGCATTGTGCCCATTGTTTCCGTACCCGTTTCGGGCGTCCAAATCGTGGGTGCCCCGTGCGCCGGGATGGGTTTTTTTTTCCGAGGTTTCGCCTCGTCCGTGCCCGTGCCTGCTCGTGGGTTCCCCGTGGGCGCCTCGCGCGCTTGCCTCGCACAGCCTGCGCAGCGCAGCTGGCGCCACACAGCCTGCACCGTATAGCCTGCAGCGCAGATGTCAGACCGCACAGCGCACACCACACGGCTCCCACAGGCACAGCCTGCACTGCTCAGCTCTCACCACGCAACTCACGCCGCATGTCTTGCACACGCGCCAACTCGCACCATGTCGCCCCACCGCATATCTTACACGACATGTCTCGTTCCATGTACCTCATGCCACATAGCTTACACATCATAGCGTACACCACAAAGCTTGCATACCCTAGCTTGCATTATGTAGCTACTATCGCAAAGCTGACACAGCACAGCTTGCACGACATAGCGTGCACAACGTATATGCCACCTCCACAGTGCAATAACTCATTGGTTGGGGTCCACGCTGGCTAGAATGTTGTTATTTGCAATGTTTCTGTTTCCACCATCGCGCTTCACCTCACACTCTCTCACACTCCGCCTCCTGCTGTACAGTTTCCCCGGTCCGTCGGTTCTTGTTTTTTTCGCTGCTTCCCGTTCCCCGCTGACTCGCTGCCTCCCACTGTCCACCTCATCGCTCCCCGCTGCTTCGGGCTTTCCGCTGCTTGCTCGCACTGGAACCGTTCCTCCCACTACCCGCTGCGTCCTTTCCCCGACTCATTGCTTCCTTGCTTTCCCGCGCCCCTTTTAAACTTAAAAGCAGTGTTTGGTGTGGGGGATGTCTGGAGACTGGAGAATGCGCCATGCCTGTTCGAACAGGCCAGGAGCCACCGAGAACATATGATCGGACTGCAGTCTTCAACTGGACAGCCGATTGTACACGTGTGGCTCATGCGTTACGCGACGTGCAAGTGCAATTCGAGTGCAAGTCTGAGGGTCTGTCAAGTAATTGATCGGTGCTGCGTTCTGCCACGTTCTTCCTGGGACATGAGGGGAGGGGACCACCGTGAAACTTGCGCGCCCAGCAGCCCACGGTCGTTGCCACATCATTATATTGGAATCGCTGAGGTTACGAAGTGCACGGTCTGCGTCATGGCGTTGCTTTGAACTTTGTGCATGGACATTGTACTTTGCAGCGAGGCCTTTATCATCGAGTCGAGTGGAATGAAAACCGCGTGTTGACGTCGGGAGTCGCAGTCTTGGCGCCCCAAGACGGCCACCGCCGTCTTGCTCTCAACGCCCCGAGAGGGCCCAGGAACGTGACGAGACGGTACACATTGCTCATTTCCTATTATTCGAAAGTTCTTTGATTTTTTGGGGGCCAATATCCTTTGATTTCTAATTGTTCTATCCTGGGCCTCTTCCTGGCCACTAGGGGGCCAGGAACGATTAGAAACGAGCAGAATCAGAAAGGAGCACGAGTCGAGATGAACGACGTGTACGTAGAGGGTCTCACAGGTTTCCAAGAGGGCCACCCAGATGCAGTGCGGCGCTTGACTTTGTGGCCCCCTGGGGGGATCTCTGGCGATCCCTGGGGAGCTCCACGGCTGCTCCCTCCCCTGGGAGCTCCCATGAGGGCCCCCGAGAGGGCCCCGACGGAACGCAACATCAAGCGACAAGGCAGGCGCCTGCTTCTTCGGGTCCTGCTGGGGCCATCCTGGGGCCCTCCTGGACACCCGTGGCCTCGTCCAGGCCTTCCCCCTCCTGCTCCTCGAGCAGGCTGCAGGTGAGGGGGGGGGGATGCTTGGACACCTCGGGCCTCGTCTGCGTCTTCCCCCTCCTGCTCCTCGAGCTGGCTGCAGGCAGAGCAAGGGGGGCGGCCGCGGGCCGCGGCATCGCGTCGGCAGGAGGCCCTGCGGGGCCCAGGAATGCGCCGTGGCGCAGGTGGGCCCCAGGCGTCTCGGATGGCCCTGGGGGCCCGAGGGGGCCCGAAGACCTCCCCTTCTCCATCCGCCTGCCAATGCCCCTCCACAGCACGAGGGCAGAGGGGACGGCGCGGGGGGAGGCCGATGGTGGAGGGGGGGAGGAAGGGGAGGAGGATGGCGGCTATGAGTTCTGATGAGTCGTGGTAGTGGTGGTGGTGGTGGGGATGACGATGGCGATGGCGATGACGACGACGACAACGACAACGACGACGACGGCGGCGGCGGCGGCGACGACGACGCTGACGACGATGACGACGACGATGCGGATGATGATGGTGGTGGTGGTGGTGACGATAATGCTTCTGCTGCTGCTGACGATGGTGAAGCTGATGCTGATGATGATGCTGATGCTGATATCGACGACGCCGGATGCGATGCTGATGACGTTGTTGTGGTTGGGCTTGGTGTGCCGATGGTGATGATGATGCTGATGATGCTGATGCTGCTGATGATGATGATGCTGATGCTGATATGGTAACGACGATGATGCCGATGCTGCTGATGATTATGACGATGTTGCTGATGCTGATGATGGTGATGATGATGGTGATGATGATGATGATGATGCCGATGCCGATGCCGATGATGGTGATGATGCTGATGTTGATGATGCTGATCCTGCTGCTGATGATGATGATGGTGATGCTGACGCTGCTGCTGTCGACGATGGTGATAGGGATTCTGCTGATTATGCTGAATATGATTACAGTATGATGCTGCTGATGATGATGGTGATGATACTGATGCAGATTATGGTGATGATGATGCTGCTGATGATGAGGATTATGATGCTGGAGGTGATGCTGATGATGCTGATGATGCTGATGATGCTGATGCTGATGATGTTGATGCTGATGATGATGATGTTGCTAATGCTGATGCTGATGCTGAGAAAAGATGTCAAAGACAATTATGACTATGAGGAGGGTGATGAACTTGATGCTGATGCTGATGATGCTGATGGTGATGGTGATGGTGACGATGATGATGAAGATGAGTATGCTGCTGCTGCTGCTGATGATGATGATGATGATGATGATGATGATGACGACGACGATGATGATGATGATGATGATGATGATGATGATGATGATGATGATGATGATGATGATGATGATGATGATGGTGGTGGTGGTGGTGGTGGTGGTGATGGTGATGGTGATGGTGATGGTGATGGTGATGGTGATGGTGATGATGCTGCTGCTGATGATGATGTTGATGATGATGCTGCTGCAGATGTTGATGTTGATGTTGTTGATGACGATGACGACGATGGCGATGATAATGCTGGGTGGCGAGGACACCTCGCCTCGGCCGAGTGGGACCGTGCTGCCATGCGCGCAAGCCCGCTCAGCTCGATCGTCAGCTGCAGGGCGGCCGAGGTCACGGTGGCGTCGGGCAGCAAACGGCGGTCGGCGTTTGCGCGATCATGAGCACCGCGACGGCGAACGAATCCTCACTGGCATGGCGAGGTGGCAGCCGACGGCCTTGCACGACAGGCACCTCAGCCGCAGCCGCCCCGCCTCTGCGCCGCCCAGCTGCAGGCGCCCCGCCGCCGCGAAGGTCCTGGCGTCCGTGGGTCGCCTCTTGCCGAGGAGCCCGTCGATGCGCCTCCTGCTGCCGCCCACGAGGCTCTCCCGCGGGCCGCAGACCAGCAGCAGCGAGGTGCGTGCCGTGGAAATGGAGCGGGGCCGCACCGGCAGCCGCCGAGGCCGCCGCCCCCGACGAGCACCGCTTGGCCGCGAGCCGCCCGCGGAGGCGCTGCCGCGCCCGCCTCAGCAGGCGGAGGAGTGCCGGTCGTGGCACGTTCTGCCACTGATCAGCGAGAGAAGAACGGTATAAAATAAACTTTTTCGCTGTCGGGGGCGCCTATCCCTGGGTGGCTGGAAAGTTTATACCCCTACGGTGCCACCGTAAGGGTATAAACTTTCCAGTCGCCCAGGGACAGGCGCCCCCGACAGCGAAAAAGTTTATTCTATACCGTTCGTCGCCCGTTAAACTGACCTCGTGCCGACGACGACGACGACGACGACGACGATGACGATGCCTCTTCGGCGTCTCTTTGAAAGCGGCCCCTGGGCGGGCGCCCCAGCCGCCAAGCCGGTGGCTCCTCCTCTGCTGCCCCCCCTCGGCGGGGCGCGCTCGGCCGCCGGCGTGGCGCGAGGCGTGCTGCTGCCCGTCGCTCCTGCGGCCGAGCTGCACATCCGCGGCGAACAGGGCAGCATCTCGCAGACGCTTTTTCTCTCCCAGCCCTGGACTTATCGAAGCAGAATGAATCAATTGGGGCC